ACGGAATGGATTAGACGGGGGGCGCGTGGGCTGTTAAACACACCATACTTTAATCCATTACTTGTGTTCTACTGTTTCTATTTAAATGAAACATTCGGCGGTTGCTCATAGAGTTTAGAAGTCTCTTTTTTTGGTCATCACATAGTCGAAAGACTATGCATTGAAGATGGTTTGACAAGTCTTACCTTTAATTTGACTGGATCTACTTCCTCTAGATCCGAAGATGACATAGTTGGGCGTAGGGTAGGAATTGTTACAGTGCAGCGATTACTCTGAAACACGAATGATACATAGAAGATAGTGTGACTAGACGTTAGTCCAACTTTCATAGCTCTATTTTTGTTAGATCCCAAGATCATGTAGTTGGTCGACCGTAACCAATATTTTCGTGAAATATATACAACAAACCACTAAAAATCTATAGAAGATGGTATGAGAAGTTTTTCCTCCAATTTTCATGGCTGTATGTCCTCTGGATCTCGAGTTCATATAGTTGGGGATCTTTAACTAATGTCTCACTGAAGCGATTAAGAAGAAACATTAATGATACATAGAATATAGTACGAGTATTCATTCTTACAATCTCCATGGCTGTATTTCTGAAAACGAAACAATTGTCACTCTATTAAAAAGCGGAGTTCCCCCGTTCTTTCGAAATGATTTCATGTTGAGGCGAAATGATGTTATTATCATCATCATCGGAGTAGGTGACAGACACCATGTGCTTCGGGGTGCAAAACTTTACAAGTTAATTGCTCCGTCAGGCCGAAAGAGCTTATTAGATACAGGCGGAACCCCGAGACACGCCAGAGAGACAGACAAAGAGGGGGGAGAGGTGCTGCCCAGGGGCTGATCTAATGCCTGTTTGGATGTTAGTTGTTAGATGTGGGATTGTTGAACGTTTGGCTGTGCGCTCTGTGGATGGATGAGGATGAGGAGGAGGATTTCTGGGTATCGTGAGCGCTTCCAGCGAAGAAAGTGCGAACAATTTATGAAAGTTGGCTGCTGTTTACGAGTGTGTTTTTGTGGGGCATTTACGATGAAAATGTTTATAAATACTAGCCGATTGGGAGAGCAATAGTTCAAAGAGTGTGGCAGGTTCCTCAGCTCCGAGCAAATGGAACACTCAAAAGATCAGACAGAGAAATTGATGACATAATGATTCGAGTGAATCAGCTGCATTACCCCAACAGAAACAGAGATTGGGCTTTGTTCTCGTCTGAACGAAATCAGAAATATTAATTACCACGAAATGCGCGTAAACAGCGATACATTCTTTCAACCACTTTTGATAAATCGCAGAGCCACAGAGCCACAGAGTCACACACACGATGCACGATGCCGACACATGCCAGAGCCCCAGAACATTGCCACAAACACCAAAACAATTTTGCGATGAAATTGTCAAATTGCAGTGGAAAAACGCAAGAGCCCAGTCCAGCCAACAGCCAACAGGCAGCAGCCAGCAGGCAGCAGGCAGCCCCACCGCAACCGCAATCGCACCACCGACAAATGCAACAGCAACAGCCCCAGTCCTCCCTCGCCCATACACTCGTGTATAGAGCTAGTCGTACGGACAGCACGAATTCAATTCACAATTTTCGGGTAACTGAAAATCACTGCGAGGCGAACGCAATCAATCATAAAACGATGAAATGTCGACCGACCAGGCGGCGGCGGCGAGCAGAGGAGGAAAATTGAAAACGTTCTGGCAGGACATGGACAAGGAAAAGCCGAAACACAGCTCCCCCCCCCCCCCCCCCAACCCCACGACAAAGCAGTGAAAAAAACACACAAGGAAGAGAAGTGGGTCTCGAAGGCCGACTACGGAAATACCCTAAGAGATTATAGGTCGAGATCATTTCTAGAGACATGTGGCAGCTAGGGAGCTCGTACATTCAAGGACCTTCCCTGCTTCCCTGCCTGCTCATTGCACCCTCTTTAAGGAAGGGTATATCCCACCCAACACATCAATGGCGTACAGCAAAGTCAAAAGCGTAACGTTGGATTGGCTTTTGGTGCGGGTTTTTTTTTTTTTGGTTAGTGTTTTTCTGTATGATTTGGTTTTTTTGTTGGATTTTTTTGGCCGTGGTCAAAGCGAACGAACGCTTTCCGACAATTTATCAATGGCTCTGACTGCTGCTGGAGCTCCTGCCTTTGAAGCTGAAGCCGAAGCCGAATGCTGATGCTGATGCTGGGAGCTTAGCCGAATCTGCTCCTGGCCAAGCGGCAAATCCCCCCATCAACACCCAAAAAATGTTCACTCTCTCTCTCTCGTTCTCTCTTTGTGGCAGTTAATTAGAGATGCCAAACCGACAAAAATCCGTTCCGTTCCGTTCCGTTGTGCGTGTTCGTGTGCGTGTTCGTGTGTTGCAAAGATATCAAAGAGTTTCCATTTCCATTCATAACTTGCAACAGTTGCACTGTGTCAACAGCAGACGGAAATATACGTCTGCCATACGAATATGTATTCGTAAGATACGCATAGAGCAGGCCAAGGGATCTACTCGTAGGTATCTGCACTGAAAACCCATGGAAAAGGGAGAAATCATTGAGTATTTGATAGAAGAGGCTTCTTAGCTTCAGGCAAACCGAATTGATGGAAGATTGTTGTAATTCTCAATGAAAGAAAGCCCTATGTATGGGAAGGGAACTCTAGATTGAAGGAGTTTTTTCCTTCTAGTAGTCACTTTCTTTAGATAGTTTTCGATCCTTTTACTGCCATCTGATTTAAAGACCTATCTAAGGTCTAAAACCTTTCAGCAGAATTCCACAAAGTCTACAAAGACTTTCAATAGTTTTAAATTGCCTTTAATTTACCCCGAAAGTATGATCCATCATCGAAGATCTCCCATCATCGAATCTTTATCTCTCTGCTGGCCATTATCAAGGATACCACGATTTCCTGCTTGGGGGGAACTTTCCCTGGCCGCTGACTCTTTGTTTAAGATTTCGAATGAACCACAACAGATTTAAACAGAGGCCCCACAAATGTCGTTTTTATGGGAAACTCTCCCTCTCCCTGCCCCAAAGATTCAGCGCCATGAGACAAAGATACTGAGACGATTTCATTGTCTTTTCCCATACCAAAAATCGATGTTTGAGTGTCGGGGCATTCGTTGAACGAGTATTCGTGGAGAGTGTGAGTGTGAGTGTGAGTGGTGTGTGGGGAGTGTTTTATCAAATTTGAACTTAATTACTGGACTCACCTTTCTCGGATAACACACGGGAACGAACGGCAGTGGCAGCGGCAGCTTGGGTTCCGTCCGGCTAATGAACAGTTTTATGCATCGCTTTAAGTCGCATTTGATTGAGCTCTCGATGGGCATTTTGTAATCGTCGAAGTGAAATTTACATGGCCCCAAAACCCCGTACCGAACCGAACCAACCGAAAATCTCCCATAAATCAAGTTGCATTCGCAGGTCGTAAGTGTGTCATTAAAATTAATTATCTAGCATTTTTAACACCGAGCTGGGAGTCAGAGCCACAGCCAGAGCCGTACCCTTTTCGGATGGATACTCGGAAGATTTTGAATGGAAGATGGGCTGGCAATTAGCCACACGCCGTGCTTTCGGAGCTCTGCTTTTTCTAAATATTTGCTTAGCTTTTGTTGACGATTCTACGATGTACAAAATGTGGAGACGAACGGCATTGCAACTGCGACTGCGACTGAGACTGCGACAGTCCCTGACTTTGTTCAAATATTTGCGCTGACATAACTTTGTCTGCGGCTGGCATGCGCCATCTGGGTGATGGGAGAGGGAGGACGGCGACAAGCAGTTAGGGCCTTCAAAAAGGGACTGTGGAGAGTCGCTTTGTCTGCCGATTGCCCCCGGAGCAATGTGTGAAAGATAATTATAACATGTGTGCTCAGCATTGGATTCTACTGAGCTCCGAGTTCTGTTCGGTTGACACAACTGTCGAATGCAGGGAGACGTAGACAGACAGACAGTCAGACGGACAGACAGACGTTCGTTGGTTCAAGTTTTTGTCTAGCCGCAAGCTGCAGCAAGCAGTCATCGTGGCCTTTGCCATTGACAGCTCTGCTGTGTCTCTGTCCCCATCGAAAGATGCCAACTCAGCAGTAAAACGCCATGGCAGCAGCCCCACAACCATCTACCGTCTACCATCTTCTGTGTAGGAGCCACGAGCGAACGGCAGTAACCGCAGCAGTCGCCATCGAATGTCAATAGCAAAACTGTTTGCCAAAAGCATAGCAAGCAGCAGGCAACAAAGAACAAGCAAGGCCCAATACCACAACGAACGAGTGACCGGCAGGGATATGCCCTGGAATGAACAGTAGTTCAAGTAGCAGTAGATCTATTGGGTAGTGCCCTAAAACTATGATTTGTAGCCTACGATTTGTATCATATCAAAGTGTAATCTACTCTAAGCCATATTCCTTGAAAGGGTATCTAAAGCAGTAAAGGAATGAAATACCCTAGAGGTTCTACTCGAAGATACATCGACTGCGAAAGAACCAAGAGAAAGAAGCGTCGAAGGCCAACAGAGAAAGCAAGGAAAGTGAATAAGGAATGAGAAAAAGTTGAAGTAGAACTAAAAGGCATTCCCATTTAGAAGTAAACTTTAAAGTAGTGAACCCATACACATCCCCTTTCGTAGCAGCCGGTCATACCCCTTATCAAAACAGGGTACAGGGCCCCGCCTTGAGTTCCAGTCGCTGATTCCTAAGTAAGTAATTCAAAACAAATCGTCGCATAAATTATCCAACTTAAGCCAATGTCCCGCTAGACAAATGATGCCACCATCGACCAGTCCCCAAATCCCCAGGCCCCAGTCCCCAGTTCCCAGTCCCATTCTGAGACCCATCTCCAATCATTCACTCCCCCGTTTTGCGTGCCATTTATTTCCATTTATCGCATTGGCCGACGGATGGCCAGTGATAAAGACATTGAAAATAGACAGTTAACGGCTCGGCATATCTCCCCCTGATGTATCGTTCACTGAAGTTTCCCTTTTCCTTTCCCTTTTTTTCCAGTGTGCAACTGCAACAACCATGCGCGACAGTGCCGCTTCAATATGGAAATCTTTCGCGCCTCCCAGGGCGTCTCCGGTGGCGTCTGCCAGAACTGTCGGCACTCGACCATGGGACGGAATTGCCACCTGTGCAAAGAGGGCTATTACAGGGACCCCACCAAGCCGCTCCATCACCGCAAGGTGTGCAAAGGTAAGTGTTGCCTCATATTTGTGCTTGTAGTGAAACACAGCAGAATCTTTTCGTAATTCCCCCAAGAACTGATTGCCAAATCTCTGGCATTCCTCTGTCCCGAGATTAATGCACAATTTACAATAATTAGCTACCGGAAAACAAAGTCAAAGCTGGCCAGAGGGGGGCCAACCCTTTGCCGTCCCCAGGCGACCTTCGAGTGTGCGTGTGTGTGTCTGTGTGTGTGTGTGTGTGTGTGGGGAGTGTGTTTTGTGGGTATCGTAATTTATGAGCACGATAAATTCACGCGTTTCAATCGAAAAACAACGCAAAATGAAACACAGCCACGGGGTGGCAGAAGAACATGAACAGAAGTTGCTAAGGCTATCAGGGCTATGGGGATACCCTGTACAAGGAATATACAAAAATAGAAAATACCTCAAGCGATGTATACGTGCGGAGGTTAACAAAAAGAAAACACGTAGTCCGATTACTATGAAAATGGATACATAAGTACATAGAGGTTATACAAATTTGTGCTGTAAAAGTTTTGAATATATCATACCAGCTGTAAGGAATACACAGAGTACTTGGTCTTTCGAATGGTTATGCCAGATAAGTCTATCCTTAAACTTTGAGTACCATATCTTGAGAATTTTCAAAAGTATTGCTATTCCTTCAGGAATAAACACCCGTACTACCTTCCGCAATCCAACAGATTTGGGGGCTTCAAACACCCCCCATATGATGTCCATGGCTACAGACTCTTGCGTAGAACCCTCACCAGCGGAAGGCACCCACAGAACACGAATTTATGAGCCTGCAATCATTTTTCATTGGCAAACAATCAAACAAATCAGGTGGGCCACAAAGCACCGAGACCGCTTCGCTATTTATAGGTTTCCTTCTAGAACCCGCTGGGACTTCGCATTCGAAAAATATATAGCTAATTGCAAAATCGAGGAATCGTAAACAAAAAACAAAAAACCATAAAAGCTTCAGAGGCAAAACTGAAATTGAAGAGTACGAAAAGCGTGGGGAGTGGGAAGGGTGTCGGGAATTGGGAGTTGGGAGTCTCTGGACGTCGTTTGTCATGGGGATGTCAGAAATTTTGTCGAACCGCTTTGGGGGTGGCTGACTAAGCATCATAATTCTCATCCGCATAGCCGTTAAATCCAAATCAAATTCTTATCGATTTTAAATTAATTATCCGCCAAAGTCAGAGCCGAACCACATCGTAAATAAGTGCACCGCCAGCATCAGCAATCGCCCACACACCGGATCCGGATTCGGATTCGGAGTCCGATTCAGATCAGAGACAAAAGGCGCCGCTGTGACAATTTTTAAATTTAATCGCCTTCATCGTCGTCGTCTCTCCCTCCTGCCCTTTTTTTTTTGTTGGTACCTTCTGCGAGCGGGTAATAAAAAATTTATTCATTTTAATTTTGAGAAGCGTGCAATTTGTTAAGAAACATTTTTACATTCTCGCCATACAGTTGCCTCCGTTCCATTGTTTTTGGTTGCTTTGGTTTCGGTTTCGGTTTCGGCTTCTCCTTCTCTTTCTCTTGTTGTCAAAATGTTTTACGTCATGTTTTGCCATTTGCCAAATGTTGCAGTCCCCATCTCCCCTCCAGTCCCCTCCAGTCCCCGCCCCTGACTGTCTGAACTTTCAATTAGTCAACCGAAATTGTTGTGGAAAGTCTTTTGGCAAGTAAGGCAGGAGCCACAGCCATGTCTTCCAGCTGATGCAGAATCTGTCAGAGGACAGGACTTTGACGTCGTGAATGCTTTCAATGATTTATTTCATTCCACATCTCAAGTATGCATATATTTCATTAAATATCTGCAAAAATAAATTCACATCACTAATGGCTTTTTGTCACAAAAAAAAAAGAAGAAAGTAAATCAAGCAAATGTTTTCTTATGCAATTTGTCTTTGTACATTTTCAAGATCATTCACGTCATCTATGGGTGGAATATTTGGATATTTAAAGCTTATCGATGTGCCTGATCTTGACGTCCAATGGACATCTGTTTTGAAAGATTTATGTTCTAGAATGTTTTCGTGGGCAAACTTTGTTCAAGGAATCTTTGATCCCACTTTGATCTGCTCCTTTTTTAAAGGTTTGTCCTTTGGACTTTGGACAAATCATTCTTATATACGGGAGCACACTGTCAGAGTCAATCTCTTTTTAATGTGTGTGCTTCTCTCGAGTTGTTTCTTGATGTCACATACGAAGTAGAAGTTTACTGCCTCCGCCAAGCGAATCACCTTGAGAGCTCGTAACTTTTACCTATCAAAATTATATTGCATACACACGCACTCATCATCGTACCATTCCCATCCCATTCTGGCGGCATGTCTCGCATTATAATTAACGCCTTGAAGTCATTTCGATTGCGGGCTAAAATGGAAAAGATTAGGCCCCAGAGAGGTGCTCTCTGGCAGGGGGGTGGCAGCACTTCCGCAAAACTATATTTGTCTGAGTGCTGATGATGATTTTCGAGTTGATTTAATTTAAATATTCAAATTACTTACTTGGTGGGAGGGTGGGGGGAAAGAGTCGGATCGAGTCAAGCTTTGGCAAAGCCATAACTCATCGTCGCACAGACAGACGCGGGGAGATGGGGGTGGGGCGATGGGAAGGGGATGGGACAGACCATTACACACACATTGAGCACACACACGCCCCTAGATACAGACACAGACACACTCACGTACACACTGGGACACGTGGACACGTGGACATGTGCTGTCAAAGTCATTTCGTCTAGGGGCCCCAGTCAATTTCCTTATTTGTGCAAAATGTTTCAATGACCGGAAAATTACATATTATTATTTGCCCAATGAGTGGGAATCCTGCCAGTAAACGAATCATTATTCATTTGCCTGCCGCCTGCCGTCTGCTGCCTGCCTGTCATGGTTGTTGCTGTTGGCTCTCAATTTGTTGCAGTTGTTGCAGCAGCAGCTCTTTTGATAATTAAAGTCTGGCCCCCCGGCTAGGGCCCCGAGAAGGCATACCCTCCTGCCTTATTGCCTTATTGCCATCATCGTTGACATCATTAAATTTGCATGTCACAAATGGCAACAAAGGCATCTGTCAATCGAATATTGTTTGCCCTACAAGCAAGGATATTGCTCTTTGGAACGAATAAGCCCCAAAGAAGGAACTCCAACCATGGGACTTGGGTAATAAGTAAACTAAAGGATACATTGTGGCAAATTTCTTTTTGCAGAGAATCTGCTGCCTTCGGGCACTCACACATCATAAATCCCTAATTGCCAATCGAATTCTTATAGATTAACCGCGGGCCATCCCACCATTATCATATCATATAACACATATATCCATGCCATTGTAGTCGAATACAATTGAAAGCCTCCCCCACTGCCAGGGACATTCCGGGCACAACAAAAGACTCTGGGACTCACGCGAATGTGGGGATGGGGGTGGGCAGGGCGTTGTGTTCGGCGTGACTTCGAATACAATTAACATTATCCGTAACTAAATACGTGAAATTAAAAGCCATAAAATCAGAAAGTCACGTGCGAAATGTTACAGCAATAACATGGCCAAATGTGCGCCAGGATATGCAGCAGGATATACAATATATGGCATATACATACATACGTATAGGGGTCACAGCAGGCAACGGCAATTAAAAGACAAACAAAAAAGTTTCTTTATTGCCCGAAAAAGTTCATGAAACGCAGCCGGGGCAAAGGACATCTATGAACATCCATGGACATCATCCATGAACATTTGGGGGAGGAATGGAATCCCCCCGTCAGACTTCATTAGAATTTCATAAAAGTGAGCGCCTATGCAACTGTAACAAATCGGTTAAAGGTTAAAGGCTATCCACCCACGAGGGTTGTTGCTCCCCGCAACTTAATTGAAATTTACGGAAAATACCAAAACGAAATGCATTTATCATACTCCCACACCACACCACACCACACAAGGGGGAGAGACAGGACAGGGCAGGGCAGGACAGCACAGGACAGGACAGGACAGGAGAGGCACTAAGCCAAGGTGGTTTTAAAAACTAAGCTGGAAAAATCTATTACATCTGCCTGTAACGCTGTTCACGCAGGGGGCGGGGATGGGTGGGGCTCCCCCCCCCATCAAGAAAGGGGAGAGGGAGGTCTAAGCGGCGTGACAAATTTTGTGCTGCCAAAGCAATAAAAGCTCATGTGCCCTGTGCCACGGAAATATCCAAACATTTTCTATGACAAAAGCAAAACAGCAAAACAATAAACCCAAAACCAAAAACAAAAATTGATAGAAAATCAACAGAACTTTCGGGTGCTCCGACGAACTGGAAATGCCCTAGAAAGGAGCAGATATAGTATCTTTAAAAATTTAGATGGAAAGGAGAGATGAGTTCTTCGAGGCTATATTGATATCTTCGTGATTTTAGGCAAGTTACAAATACTTTTCCATACTACAATGCCAAAAAGTATCCCTTATATATTGTATTTTATTGTGTTACTAAGAGCCCTGATTCCATTCAGATAAGAGGAAGATTTGTTCATGTTTAAAGGGATTTTTCCCTTTACCGGATCCAGAGTTATTCTTTAGAAGTCATGATGTAGTTCTTAGATCCATAATGAATCGCATTTTCCTGATATATAGCCAAGGAAATACTTTATTCTCAATTTGACATCTGCCATTTTCTGAGTCATTTACATATTTGCATCCTCCTATTATAGAGTACTTTCCGGTCAGCAAACAGCAAAGCCCCGTCACGTCACCCCGCTCTTGGTCCAGCCCCCTACCCTACGCTTGTCCCTTGAAGGATGGGGCTTGTTTGTGGGCGTGGCCGGCAATCTGCCCAATTTGAATTATGACATTTTGCATGCGAGTTGACATTTAAAGCTGTGCAAATTGTTCGAGCGTCAAATTGGCGGCGCTGCCATTTCCCAAAAACCACTTTTCCCTTGCCCCCCGAGGGAAAACTCTACTCTACTTGCCCCCTCTACTGCCCGCCACCCCCTTCGACACACCCTGCTGCCG